CATTAGGGTCACTTTTTTCGGAAGGCAGCTCTAGATTGAGAGAGCATTAGAAAAGAGGGAAAGAGTACCGCTCAACTCCCTCGCATGCAAGAGCCTCTTTATTCTTTATCGCGCGCGCCGGCTTATCCGCCATTACGACTCGTCAATATTGACATGAATTCTGCGTTCATTGAGGGAAGCTCTCAGATAAAAGCATGCACGCACGTTCGGCAACATGGCCGCCGACAATGAGCTCATCAGAGATCGTATAACAAATCATGCTCTATGAATCAAATAAAATTAATTGTCAAGTACGGAATCGTCAAGTAAGAAATAATTTTGCAATGTGTTCGTTAGTTAATTGATATTGCCTGGCAATAGCATGCTCGTCTTCTATATATGCCCAAATCGGCCTGAACTATAAGATATGCCATTCGTATTGAGGAAGGAAGGAAAATTACGGGAAACCAGAACACACTCAACAACAAATTGAATCACCTTATACTGTTATCTTTTACGTGAATGAAGAAGGACCAATATTCAGACTTCGATCGACAGCAAGCGAAATTCACAAGATCGTCGTCAATGCGTTCTTTGGAATGAAACATTTATTCATATTGTGAATAACACCATTCAACAACAACAAAGACTTTCAGGAAAATAGAAATCAAAACCTTGTGTCACTAAATGTGATGATAAGTTGTCGACGTTTGTCATTTCTTCGGCCCGGTAATATCTGAGTTTCGACGCTTTATAGTCGTATTGTTAATTATAAAATGTAAATAGTTCGACCTGTACACAACCAGTCGTTTCATTGACGTATATAACTAACAATTTGTATTTGCTTTATAGGAAATAAATGTGGGTCACTGCATAAATTCAAACGAATCAAATTAAAAAAAATTATATGCTGCCATTTCTCAAACAAATCAAATTAAAAAAAATTATATGCTGCCATTTCTTATACAGGTGAACGACTAAATCACCTTTCACAAACCATTGCGGTTATTGACAAAAAATAATATCAGATGGCAAGCGCTGAACAAATAACGATTATAATTAACATACGTTGATCCAATGTAAACGAACTAGTATCAGTAAATATCGATCTCTTTGAATACTCGTATGATGCAGCTGTTATTAACAGTATAACCAGCTACGATTCAGAATGAGGCAGACACTGCCAAATATAAACCAACCTAATGAGATGTGTTCTTGAAAGTGAACTTCGTAGTCATGAAACACTAGAAAATAATGAGCAAAACTTAACATACGGGTATAATCGTCGGTAAATTGGAGCTCACCAATGTTGTGTGTATTGATATACTTTCAAAATAGACATCGTAACTGCGTTCAGTCTGCTGATGACACGTCTTAAATATTTTATTAATTTGGTATATGAACAAAAATATGTTCACACATTAGATTTGGTATATGAACATAGAAAATAAAATTCATTTTGAACATAAATAAAATTCAGAACTTAATAAGAAATTTGCACAGAGTAATCCACGTTTTTCGGGTCATATATTTTAAAAATTGCTGGCTGAATTTAGAATAAATACGAATTTAAAAAATTAGCTTAATTTACGAATGTGTTATTGTGCAAGCTTTTGCACGGACCAAATGCGTTCGTATAAGAAATAAACTCTCTTAGAGAGACCGCCAGTAAGTTATAAACCAATTTGTAAGTCTTTTATATGAAGTTGGGCACTTTGCAACTACTCCCACAAAAGGCGCTGGGTGCGTTTATTGCCGTTTGGCTGGCGTCAGTTGCTGTCAGAAGCTCGGGCAAGTGTCAGGATCGCTGTCTCTTTATTTATAGCCTGACAAACTCACTCACAGGACGGACTACATCCGCACCTATAGACTCAGCTGTGTGGATTATTCTGCCAAAACACAGACATCGGGGAATGAAATTAAGCGCCAATTAAGACTTCATTATTTGTGGACTGCAAATTTACTAACATTTGTGTGAGCTCAAACTGGGTATCAGTTAAATTTATGAGCCAAATATCTGTTGCATTATATTTTGGTCCTTCAAGTAATGAGTGACAGGATTGGAGAGACAATCATCGCATCTTCATCAATAATGTGTTATAATTATTGATGATAACATTGTTATTAAATTACCAGTCGTTAAATTCTGTCAGAAAATGCACCTTTTCGGGAAAGATTTCATTGGCAGAGGGTTAATTAATGGCACTGGTATTCAAATCGATACCCACGTGTCCAAATTAGGTTTAATTATTTTATTTAGATAGAATAATGAATATAAACAAGTTTTACATCTGCCCGACGAAGAGTCAGATCCCAACTTTTGCCCGTACGAATACAAGACAAGCGGGACAGCTGCAGCTTGTTTTGCATCTCCCTATGTTAATAAAAAAACCGTGAATATCTCGTCTTTCCTGGAGAGTATATAGTTTGCATCTCAATAGCCCACAGCAAAAATAAAACCAATATTTCCTGTATAATTAGAGAAAACGCTAAGTCTATAGAATGGAAGACAGCCGGTGAGAGATAAATGGTGATCACCTTAATTTGAAGCGTAAATACGATCATGAAATTTACCATTTAAAATAAATATGTAGGAAAGTTATCCGTTATATAGGCAGTCACTCAAGTCTTAGCCAAGCATGAAAACCTCCATTATTGAGAGAGCACAGTACATAAATAAGTTGAATAAAGTAATTAATCGAATTAAAGGCGCTGAAAGCGAGTTGTCTACTTGTTGGCAGATGTTTCAACCGAAGTTGATAATTGTCTTGCAGAGGATAGAAGTATTTAAGCGTTCATACGAGTTAACAATTTGTCAAGTTTTTGTCGAGAAGAAAACTTGCGAACGACGATTACTTCAGGAACACTCATGCACATTTCGTGCATATTGAGTTCACTTCTCATTTATCTCGCACCTAAAAGAAACAACAGTGCATTACAGAACCATTTTTTCAAGGTCAAAATTGTTCTACGTACGTTTACTGGTGCGAGACAAAAACTAAAGCTTAAGATAAAATAAAAATAAAAAACTATTAGTTTAAAAATACAGTAGGACTAGATAAGATTACAAGTTGCCATACGTAAAAATGCAGCATGCATGTAACGAGTTCACCAGTCATGAATGACTCATGAATCGAGGAAACCGCTCTAGGAAAACAAACTCGTGCGATATGCATGTACTGAATGTTTGGTATCTCAGCAATTTTTGACCGTGCAGCATAAGCTTTTGTTTGAAATTGTGGACGAACATTAGGGTATGCTTTAGATTTTCACACACGCTGCCGCCGGTTTAGATGATGCATGCATCACTGTCAGCTTCAATGTATATCCTATTACAAAAGTAAACAGACACTGGTTGGTGCACGGAGATCGCAGACTGAAAAGATAGAGGCCCTTGTACTGAAGACAAACCAACCTTAAAGCGGAGAGCAATGCAGCAGCAGAATACAACTATGGGACATCTTATTATGAATCACTCACCAACTACCATTCTCCGCTAATTTGTTAGAGCTTCTTTCAATGAAGAATGTTTAGCCCGAAGCTGATAGCGATATAGTAATCAAATCACCGCAGGTATATGAAAATGTGAACTTTAACACTCACATTTGAAGCGTAAAATTTTCAGCACATTTACATTAGAGGCACAATACAGACTAAAAAAGGACAGAGTCATAGTTGACTATCTCGATATTTTTTTCGGCATCGCACTCAAGAATTTGATTTTCTTACTCATAAACTTCATCACGGACAATTGAAGCCTCTTTGCAGATAATGCATCAAGATGTATCGTTATAGTATAGAGATGCCCCAATGACGCATCGTACGTAAAGATGGAGAGATGCATCGAACATAAAAATGCACAGATGCATCGCATACTAGTTAAATGTCGGGCATATACTCATATGCTTATTATACTATGTGCACAACACGTGCGCAACCATCTTACATCTACGGCCCCATGCAGTCTGGGATCATTCAATTTAGATTTTGATTTAAAAATAACTGTTATTTTAAGACCATACCACTTCGTGGACCTTGTTCGCATATTTAAAACTCGTTTCACAGATGAAAAAAAAATTAGTTTTACGTCTGTTTCCATTTTGTCCTAAGAAGTTTTTAGTGGAGAACTTTACTTTCCTTTTCCGTAAAAGAAATAAACTAGATTTTCTAAATGTCCAAGCCTCAAAATTCTCAGCAGGTAACAAAAATCATATACGTATATGTAACCTAACAATAAATAGACAAATTTGTCTTATCCTACAATTGATTTATTATATAGCCCATAACTCGCTGATGCGGTTCTCAATAATGTATATTCTTTGGAACTTATTTAGAACATAAAAGTTTTTTTCGCTTCTAGACTTGTGAGAACTCACAAAAATCTTGACATGACACTCATTTTCGAAATAACGGCAACGCATAAATATGATTTACACTTAAAATGTCACATTAATCAACCGGAACAATGAAAAAAGGTCATTCAAAAATATTCGATCAATCAAATTAAAATTGACAATGATTGTCTATTTCTGGCGACAAAATGGAATTAATAAATAAAAAATTCGAAGATAAAATCACTATCATAGAGACAAAAACAGGTTTTTTAAACCACCGCAGCTGTCTACGTCCCGTCATTTTGCATCGTTTTGCATCGATTCGGTAGGTAATCAAGGACAAAATTGCCGAACGTATAATACTTGGACGTTCCTGCAATCAAATGTACATCTGCTTTCGACTATTCCACATTAATGTTTAGGGCGGAAGTTCTTCAGTCTAACATTGTAAGGGATGCGAAAATCCACACATTCGTGTCATGCTATACAGTAGTTTTTAGGTTCACAATCATCAGTATAAATATGATAGAGATATTCATGCCAGCGTTGAAGTTCTCCGGATAAAAATCTCATACCTCACAACAGTTCTCATACCTCACAACAGTTCTCATACCTCACACCAGTTCTCATACCTCACACCAGTTCTCATACCTCACACCAGTTCTCACACCTCACAACAGTACTCACCCGGCAGCGGGATGTGGATGGTGCGGCAGTAGGCGGGGAGCGTCCCAGAGGTAGCGCGAAGTGTCGTGGTGGTGAAGTCGCAGTTCAGGCAGAGGTGGCGGCGGCGGTAGCGTTGCAAAAGCCGATCCTAAGCCAAGGGGCATTGCTGACGGCACCGCGGAAACTACAGGTAGAAAATAGTTCAGTCAAGTTCAGTAAACCTCAAAACAATAAATCTTGGCGTAAAAAAAAATTACTTGGGTCGAATAATATTCTAGGGGAAGTATACCTATGTAGCTAGTCAGAGAAGACATGAAAAACTAATCGATTAAATTGTGCTCAAATTCAGTCCTACGACTCACGTTTTTTAATTAAAGAAATAGAAAGCGTATGAAACTGCCAAAGTGCAATAGTAATTATTATATTAATAATCAATTCCATTAATCTTATCCAATATCTTACGAACTCAATCGAGTAAACTTGGAAGACGACATCTCCGAAGCGTTAAATTCTAAAAGAGAATAAAGAGAGTGCGCAGCAAGAGCATATACAGTATGTAAGTAGAGGCAGAAGACTAAGAAGAGGCGCGCTTGTTTACTTCAACCCAAACAACTGATCCGCGCTAACTTCAGACTTGACTTGTATACAGATTCACTGCACCTCCGAGATGTTCATTATAACTATGGTGGCACCTATTTACCGTGTCTGCAGTAACGCGTGATCATGATCATTATGGAAGCATAGGTGCATCCTATCAACGACAAGCAGATTTATACTTGATTAATCTATAATTTAGTTATACTGTCATTATGGAAACGTGATTATCATCATCATGGTAGCATCTACCCATAAAGGCTGAGAATAAATGTAATGAACTAATTGAAAATATCAGCTAGTTTTATTGGTATCGCTCAAACGTGATAGTCATGGCTCTCATCTCATCCGTTTTGTGTGCTTGCGTGAAATAGGATGTACATAACAACGATACCACATATTTAACATGGTTGCACAAGACCTGATTTTCACATCAACAACCGCTTAAATTCATCATCGCTGAATGGAATCAGATGTTCATATTCACAGTAGCAAATGTTCATTGTGATAGCAGTAGATATAATATTAGTGTGTGCGCGCGGTAGCTCATATATGCATTATGGCTGCAAAAGGTGCATTTTAATATTAGTTATACAACTTGATATTTTCATAGAATAAATTTGGTTTCAATTTTAGACGTTTCTTCAATATGCAAGCAGATATGCTTTTTACGATTTTACTGACACATAAATTATAATATTTAAAAACCAAGAGGCTCAGGAAACTGCCCACCTCTGCCGTGAATTGACCGCATGTAGCAGATCCTGTGATTCGCTCGGATTACTTTCAGGCAAACCTAATCTAATAAACCTAATTCCATACTAATCAAAAAACAGATAACAAGAAATAGGGATTTCCTCTTCTAATAACTGAGCATAAGATCCTATTATAGAGAAGTATTTGCGTCCCACAGGATTTAATTCTGAGACTTGAGCAAAACAAAATCTTTGGACAGAATTTTAAACACAACAGTAATTAGAAGAATTTTAACAACTTTTCAATACGACTGCATTAATAAGTTCATTATTCTGGTGCAGATGTCCTGCAGTGTAGTTGTAATTCACAATTAAAATAATTCATCACTTACGTTAAACGCTAATTTTACAATTTGGTGTGTATAGTATGAGGAGAATGATGATCGATAAAATCATTTGTTGAGTTTTAACACGGAAATTAAAACATTGCAGGAATTTTATTTCTACATGCAAGCGTTGATTTTTCAACTTTCAAAATATTTTTACATGAGAATTGGAATTTGTGTCAGAAGCAGCAGTAACATTGCTTAATTTCAAGAAATAAGTTACAAACGTCACCTTGACTCAATATGCAATAGATGATATCGAAAAACTCTTGAATATCCACACTGTAAATATTTATTCACACAAAATTATACTTTACATTTCATTCTATACTGAAATAAGAGTTTATATTTAGAAATTGAACCTTTACAACATCATTACCACCACGAAATTTTAGTCACTAAACGTCACATTTAGCAAGCTGGACAATTTGTTAGGACACAGCAGAATAACAGGAATCTCTGCGAGAATTATCACCGATGTTTGTACGCTGCTACGCGCCATATTAAATCATGCAAATACCTAGTCAGGAAGTCAGCTAGTGGAAAATTTGTCAATTGTTTGAAGTTGTTATCGGATAAACGTTAAGTTTAGATACTGGATAAAACTTTTGATATTTTCTAAAGATTTTCATATAGACATCAAATCTCAGCTCAAAATTTTCATGCAAGTCAGAAAGCGATAAAATAATGTCGAATGTACAGAGAGGTTTTACGATCTCACCCGATTTACAATTTAGGTACACAGCGAGCATGAAACGCTGTTGGACGAGTTGAGTGAAATTGAGTATACATCAGTGCATGAACCTTTAAAAAACCGAATATATGCAAAAGATGCGCAAAAATATCTTGAATGCAGAATCGTGGGAAATCCGAATTTCAGACGAAAATGTAGATAATCAGGAAGAGAAACAGAAAGCACAACCTTATTTTATACCCATAATTTGGTGCTATTTCATGAGAAAAGAATATTTCGAACCCGTACGATACCTTTTCTATCCTGTAGGGAAGAGGTTAGCGTTGGTTCTTCGCACAACCACGGTCTATGACCGACATATAATTCCATAATTATCTTTAAAATCACTTTTAATTAGTTTTTTCAGTTTTTGACAAGTTTCCATGGTACCACAATCTAAACTGGTAGAAATTGTCCCGTAATGAGCCACAGGCAAAAAGTACTAAGGCTTTGAAACACTTCCGTCACCAAGCTCACAAGTTGAAAACCTCGAATTATAAATTTGTCTCCCTAAATGACATATTGTTTTTTTTTTACACTGTTCACAAATAATAATTAACAGTTTACTTCACCGCGAAAGTGGACAAATTTTCGAACTTCTACACAGAGCACTTCGATATCTCATCCACGATCTGTAATTTCACACCGACGACAAGAGTGTGGAGAGGACACGGCAGACGCTTCACAGGACGAGTGTGACAGTTCTCTACAACGACCGTCTCAAGACAACTCAATTAGTTCCTGTGAGGCGGCACGTTAGCACCACCAGTCTCGGTCCACACACTCGTGAGTTTTGCTACCCACAACACTATGACCGCGGCGGGCTACCTCTTAGAAAGATGAAAATTAGACACAGGCAATGTTCTATCGTTTATGCTTGCTTGTCTATATTTCCTGCTTGTCGAACAGAGAGAAGAAGATACCATGTGTAGTTTAGAGGCAACAGTAAGCTGCCTACACTACTAACACTACCAGAGCACTTCCCCCAGATCGAGGTTTGTCGCTACCCTACCCCCTATGCCGCTCACTACACCGCTCGATGAGTTGCCGAATTCATCGGACGCGCCAATTAAAAGGTTATTTGCTTACATTTCACTTTAAATATCTTTTATATTATAACATTAGGCAACAAAAATTTATTTTGAAACTATTGAGTGTCTTTTTGATTATCTTATCTTTCTAGGAACTCTTCATTTACTGATAATTGTTCACCAACAGGCGTATTGAAGGCCAGCCCACACGTACGAGTAACCCCCTGAGTTGCCAGCGCTCACTATATCTCTTACATGACGTGGGTAGCTTGGCACCTCGACGAGCGAACATCAACACGGTGATGTGATGAAAAAATGCACTCTTAAATCGAGTTCCGGAGGAATACTTCAGCTACCATGACATGAACTGCAAGCCGATGCAATGATGTAAAGCTGTCAGATAGATTCCGGGCTTGGAAATTCTGTCCCTGAAGACGAAGATAATTTCTTGTTAAGCGTCAATGATTCATCCCGAGGTTTTTGTGGCGCGCGCAGCTACCTGTGCCCAAGCCGCCCAGAAGACCGACAACCTACCGGCTCGACAAGCTAATTTCTTAATCTAGCTGTGAAGGGACGGTAAACCCACAGCAATTTCCATGGTCCTATCGCTCAAATGGACCTACGGGCAATTCAGGTGTTAACAACTTCATTTACGGCTGAATCGCCTAGAAGACTAGCTGTTTATAGGAATCTCAAAAAGATATGAGTTAATATTTTTGCGTGATTTGGCGTTACGTTGCAGTACAAAAAAAATTCTGTAACTTCATTATATTGATAAAATAAAGTTTATGATGACATAATGAGGAGACTTGATGGAACCTTTAGAATAAATATTTCAGAGTCAAATTCCCTGACGGGAGTACTCCCTGATGTAAGTAAAGATTTTCATCGAACGGGAAATACATACTACGTGATACGTTTTCTAATGTGTTTATTGCCATTTTAATTTTTTTTTATTCAGTAAGCTATGATCGCAGTAGAACCGGAACATAAATCATTCATAGCATAACGAAACATAAATCGAACTCGCTCATTTTACGTGCTTTCATGAACTTTTAGGAGGAATTCTCTTTCCAATTAATAAAAAAAAACTAAGGTTGATATTCTAAGGAGTAAAACCAAAGGAGAATACCCTTAATGCGTCATCAAGATATATTTTCTAGCTCTATATCAAATATCTGTAAAGAACGGTTCAAGCATTCAATGCCGTCCTTAAATTTATTAACGAGCTTTTCAGAAATTTTGACGGAAACATACACCGCGTGCTTTCAATCAAGACGATAAAGATTGAAAACAAATCTCAAAAGAAAACCCAAATCTGGCCTCACACCGTGTGACAGTATGTCCGGAAATGCCATACGTGTGTATGACGTTGCTTGCAGCCGACAGCGCTATCCATGTGTTCAAAATCGCACACTGGCATTTGCATCTCCTCTTATGCGTCGCACTCAAAATACTGAAAGCGGTTACAAATAAATAGAAAATTTCTTATCTTCTTGTTAATATATGTGTGCAGTGGAAATTTAATTATTATGAATTGATTTCCAGCTAATATATCGTGAATGAATTATTCCACCTAGTTGCACTTTCTCATTGATTCACTGGTTGGGTCCAATATACAAATAACTTTAGTGAAATCTTAGAACTCTCCCATATCGTTATTAAATTCGTGACCACAGGCACTCTGTTGGAATGTTCCTGTAATCATTGTCTGTTCTCAAATATTATGACGCTCAGAGTGAGCTGGGATTTTACAGATGTTCAGTTCCTCTATATTGAAGTATGGACACGAAATCAAGTCCACAAACAGAGCTCCATGAAACTATTCCTTGTCAGCTTGCTTGTCCAATATCAATGATCTAGCTGTATGAAGCTCATAACTATTCCATTTTGAGATCCTAAAACTAAGAATTTGTTTCAGAGACCTTGAAATTTTATTTGACTCTGACTTCCATATCATTTTTAATTGGCTTTGAAATCAAAGGGCGGAACCTGTCCCTTGATGACAATTAATACAAGCGTTTGTTGGCATGTATACCGTTATATCTTCATGATGCCTTTCACAAAATCGTGATCATAAAACCATTATGAGTTCATCGACCTGTTGGCTGTAGAACAATGAAATTTTGAACGCAGTGGCAAATTTTGAATAAGTTAATTTGGAATAATTTAATGTATTTCATTGTCATGCGCTTCTACAATTTACCGCTAATTTTGGGAGTACAGAGGTAATGTTTTAATAAGAAAGTGTAGCTTACGAACAAAATCCTTAGTCGCTTTTTTAAAAAGTTATGAATGAAAAATACTCTGGGCACATTTGTTTTACACTAGCTTTACAAGTGTAAACTTTACGACCGTGAATTACACCTCAGATGTGCTAATGGACTGAAATTTTCTTCATCACTCGCACCTGATCGTTCGTTTCAAGGATTTTGGCCAAGTCTGAAAAATCTGACTACAATAGGGCAGTGCAAAGAAGAAACGAGTGACAGAGCCTATTGTATTCTCGTGCCGGACTCTGCCTCTGGCTAATTAACTAGCATTCCAGAGACCATGAGTCTCTCTGGCCCCAACAAACTTTGAACATATATCTTTTCATGATGCCGTCTCTACGTACAACGTCTTCTGTTTTGCTGCTTCTTCTTTAACGCCACAAACATAAATAAAGCACCGGCCTTTCTATGGCTGTTAAAGAAGGGAATGCCTTTGAAATTCTTCATTAGTCCAGTTGCCGCTGGTCACATTATGTATGTAGCAAAATAAAAAAAAAACAGGTCCAATCTCGTGCTACTAAATATTTTATTCGGCTCCTAAGCTTTATCCGTGATTCTCAACAAACGTAAATATTTATATATCTATATTTTTACCAATTGTGTTTTTAAGTGAATTAGTGCTCTCGCGTGGCAACGGAAAAGCACTTTTCGGCTTACGAACTAAAAAAAACGTGCAAAGACCTACTTGATTAATTATGATTGCTGATCATATTTTAGATTAATGATGCCAACGACAAACGTTGTGACCTTACTATTCGCTTCTGTTGCATATTTGTTATTCGATGATTTATTTCAATTTTATTTTGAAGCCTTTTTACAATATCCTTTAATGTTTGAATTGACGTAGAAATAATTAAATTTGAAGGAAGTGAATGTTAATGTGTTATTGATATGATTTGCGAGGACCTGGTTTTACTTACAATGCAAGGCAAACCAATAAAATCCTTTTTAATTGAACCCATTAGAGGTATTTAATATATTTACTTATTTTGTGACTACTACTAATGAATATAGTCTTCTAATTAAAAAGTAACTAAGTTGCCCACTTTCTAGTAGTAACAGCAGCAAATAAATTATTATCATGATAAATGTGACAAATTATGTTCTTGCACAACAGTTTCAAACTATCAATCATTCAGGTGCAACACCTGGTCCAAAGAACCTTCTCTTTAAAACCATTCCATCACAATCTTGTAACAAACTTGCCACTTCCTTAAATTTATCCCACATTAAACGGGTCGGAACCAGGGCACAATTTGTGTTTAGTTCGCATATTATTATCCACATTACCACATTAGACGATTTGTTCCAGCTGTGGTGCTTAGGTTGTTCTTTAACAACCACGACTAATAGTTTGAGAAGCAACTCGGGATGATCGAGCCTCAAACACACGTTACGAATCTCTTTAGTCGAGCTCGGCAAGTCGCGAGGCTCGGCCGGTCGCAGTCAGCACGCGAACACTCCATGCAGTCCCGGCAGCTCCCACACGAGGCGGCAACGGGAACGTATACGGAATAAAGAGCCTATACTACATCGCAGCAATTACATTTCCTTTCGTTTACTTGTAATGAATTAAAACGCTACTACTTCTGTACAATTCCTTTTTGCATAATTAACCTTTTAAGGTAGAATGTCTAAAATTAGTTTGCAATGAAATGCTTCGGGATTGTCAGCAATATTTGCAAAAAACTCATAAATTTGGGACAAGCGTGAGATTTCACACTGACTTAATCGAATGCATTACAATCATGAGAATGTAAACGATAGTAAAAAATTAATGTGAAATTTTTTTATACAACAAAAATCATTCTTTCTGCGCAAAGCAGACCTCCTTTAACCATGAAGAGACGATAACTACGTAGATCATTTCTTAATAACTTCTGTTATTAAAGTTTTAGATTTGATACAGTTTCATGCCTACGTACTTTCACATAAATATCAATGAATTTTACAGCAACATGAATTATTACGATCACTCATCGAAGTAATGATTTCTTTAATTAGCAAAAATAGTCAAGTCTCTGTGTGTACGTAGGTTTTTAACTAATGTGATCAACTAATCAAGTTTTGTTTTAAAATGTTTATTGAAAACTTCACTCCAATGTTCAAAGTAATTCAGTCTAATAACTGAAAGTAATATAAATTTAGTATATGTTACTGTTAATTTTAAGTGAAAAGAAAGTTAAGCTATTGAAAATTTACTGTACATATTACTCGATTATCAATGTGTGCATTATCACTATATACATAATTTCTTAAAATGAAGAATGCATTGACCTGTTCTAAAAAAAATACGAATTCTCCGTAGTTGTCAGTGTAGTTTTAAGTACCTTGTAAGGTTTCTTCTATAAAAAAATCACACGAGTTACAAGATCATTATAGATTACTAAATAACAGAAAGTGTAGGAGCGCAGAATTAAAGTTATGATGAGCCAATACGAAATGTCCCGCTGAAGGGAAATTGACTTCTGGAGAATAATAATAATATCAATCCTTCTATAATCTGTACGATTACCCTGTGCCAAAATGACGGTATTATAACAAAATGACGGTATTATGATAAAAATGACGGTATTGTTAGACTGATACGACGAGTCAAAGAATACGTTTGAAACATTTATATTGATGTCTCTAGAGATCAAGAAATGTGGAACTATATACAACCGATG